TATTATTTAAATCGCCCTTTTTATGTGGTGGAAAGATAATAGATTTTTTGAAACTGTTTGGAACACTTTTTGAGCTAAACATTAAGTTATAAACTTTACACAATTTTTGTAAAAAAGTATCTGAACTGTTTTTATAAAATTCGTACGGAATACCATCGCTTCCGGGTGCTTTGCATTTTTTCGCTGTTTTCAGAACTGCTTTAATTTCACACACACTTATATCGCTGTCTAGATAAGGATCTTCAATGTACGGTTCAGCATAAACTACGCTCGATATACATATTTTTGGATTCAACAAATTCCGGAAATGCCTCTCCCATTCATCAGCTCCAATTGAACCTACTACTACGTTCTTCTTTCTCTTAAACCGGTTAATAGCTTCCCATGTCTGTTTTGTATTTTTATGGTTGCCGAGATTGTTTATTAAATCGTTTTGAGATTGTGCCTTTTTCTGTTTGCAAAGTAATTTAAACTCTTTGTTTTTCTCCAAATACAAACTTCTTGCCCCAACGGAGTTCGTTTTTCTAAAAGTATTTAAAAATTTAAATACTTTTTTCCTCATTGAAAAACATTCCCAATCAAACCATGATTGTTTGCCTTGAAATCCAGACTTGTCATAGTTTGTTTTACTGCCAAGCTTACTGTGTTTCACATGTGCCGATACCTTAATACAATTGATTAAATTGTTAACATCTTCTTGACAATCGCCTACAATATTTAAATTATTAACCACAGAACTTAACTTATTTTTATAATTTATCTCATCGTTATCAGTCCATTTAAGCCTTGGTAATAATGGAAGCACAGTGCCAGCATTATTTAAATTTACAGTGAAATTCATTTTAAGATGCAATATTATCGGCATGTGATCAGAACCTATTTGTTTTAGTACACTAAAATCCCTTATTACATCCAGACAATCTAATGAGACCAAAGCGTAATCTATAACAGATGTCCCTTTTGCACTAATAAAAGTATACTCCCCTTGACTGTCATTTTTTGTCCTACCATTAATTATAACAAACCCATAATTTTCGCACATTTCTAAAATCGGTTTACCTTTACTGTTTACTACAAAATCCTTTGACTTTCTGACCTTTAGAACAGTATCCTTCAATATATCTAACTGATTAGGAATTTGTTGTAAACTAGCTGTTCTTCCATTTAGATCACCCATAATAACAAAACTTTTTTGTGGATTGTCAGTAAGAAATTGGTTAACTCTCTGAAAATCATTTTCCCAACAATTATAATTAAGGTAAAGAGGCAAGATTGACAATTCTTTGCTGTTATGCAGCCTTTTAACATCGACGAGATTGAAATTATCTATTACTCCAAAACTAAGTTGATCTACGAATTTACTTTTTTAATTAATTCTTAATATTACCCCTCCTATTGCTCTCCCAAAACAATGTACCCTCTGAGCAAATTCAAACTTAATCTTAAAACCTTGGAAAAAGTCAACAAAAAAACTCTCTTTCATTTTCTGTAATAAAAGTCTCTATTAAAATAAAAATATCACACCCATTAATTAATCGTTTAAATGAACTACAACTAACTTTTGATTTTAGTCCACACATACATTGTATGAAATAACCTTAAGGGAATGTTCATTTTTGAGGTCGGCGTCATCGGTGTCCTCTTCTCCCTCGGGATTGGCGTAGGTTGCTCAATCTTGAGTGGTGGCGGCGGAGGCTGATGTTGGTGTTGTCCCAAGCTGTCCTAGTGGCGTCTGATAAATGATAAATGATAAATGATTTATTCAGCCATTCAGTATTTACAAATATACAATAGGCATTGTCAAAAAACAGCCAAAATAAACAATACAGAAAGGTGCAATAAACTAAAAACTATAAAATCAGCAAAAACCATGCAGGTGCACAAGCAAGCAAAATAAATAAATATAGTACATATACCTTTCAGATTCCTATTCTAAGGTACAATAAATGGGCCATGCTTCATAGCAACAAAAAATTCTTCTGTCTTATAAAAAGGGTTTGCCAATAGCCACTTCTTCAGAATGATTTTAAATTTTGAATTTGGAAGTGATTTCACTTGATCTGGTAGAGAGTTGAAGAGATTGATACCTGTAACAGGGAAGCATTGTTGGGTTTTACTTAGTCTATTATAACTTATGTGAATATTGTTACAGAATCTAGTGTTATACTGGTGTACATCTGAATTTCGAGCAAGTGTGTTTTCTGATTCTTTAATGGCCATGAGACACTGAAAAATATAAACGTTGATAACAGTCATGATCTGCAACTCACAAAACAAAGGTTTACAATGAGCTTGATACTCAGTCCTACAGATTACCCTGACTGCTTTCTTCTGTAGCAACAGAATCTTCTATGAGCCTGGGGGGAGTGGCCCCATAGCCTGGTTCCATAAACAACATGAGCCTGAAAGAAAGCAAAAAAGGCAAGTCTTACAAAATCAAAGGGCATCTCATATGAGAGCTTACGAAGCAGACACGTTACTCTATTCAACTTGGTGCACAGTGCTTCAATGTGGTCACTCCACCCAAGCTCAGAGTCAAGGGTGAAACCCAACAATTTTACCGCCTCTTGCTTATTCACATTCTTGCTAAGACTGAAAAGGATTTCCTGTGTTTTCCCTTGGTTAAGAGCTAGTCTATTGCCTGAGAACCAATCAGTGGCAGTATTAAACATTCTACTTACAGCTAGTTTAGCAGCTACAGGATCTAAATCGCTAGCAAACAGGGTTGTGTAATCTGCGTATAGCAGCACATCATTTGACACATTGTAATAAATGTCATTCATGGCCACAATAAAAAGGAAAGGCCCAAGTATCGAGCCCTGAGGGACCCCATGCTCCACTTGAAGAGGACTGGAATGGTCACCAGCCCAGCTTACCACCTGAGACCTGTCTTCAAGATATGAACGGACCATACCCTGAGTGCAAACTCCCCCAGTCCGAGTCTCTCAAGTTTATCTAAAAGAATATTATGCGGCATACAATCGAAGGCGCGAGATAAATCACACAAGAGAACAGCAGTAGAAGACTGCCTCTCGAAAGCGTCCAAAACAACCCGTATGAGGGAGTCCACAGCGGTGACTGTGGAAAAGCCTCTCCGGAAACCATGCTGAGCCGGAACAAGGAGACCATGCAACTCAAAGTGGCCATACAACTGGTTTAACATTAAACCCTCAAGGATCTTACTAAAAACTGGTAACAGAGATACAGGTCTATAACTAGCCATGCTATTTCTGGGCCCTTTTTTGTACACAGGTACAGTCCTTGCCCTTTTTAGGACTTCCGGAAAACCCCCTTCTAATAGGCAGCTATTGAACAGATGAGCTAGTATTGCGGCAATATAAGGTACAATTTTTTTCAAAAACTCAGTGGACATATCAAACACATCCTTACTACATGATGGTTTAAAACTATTTACAATATTTACAACCTCAGTGGGTTGACACCTTGGTCTGCTGCTGTGGTGTCGATAGAGGTGCTCGTTCTTCGTCATTCTGCTTTAGGTTCGAGTTTTTCTGAGGCCCATTCTCACTCAGCTCACTTACAAAACTAGAAAAGTCATGTCCTGTGATGGCTAATAGTTTTTCAACACCATTTTGTCTCCCTTGCCCAGAGTCCTCCGTCCCTCCAAGAGAAACGGCAATCGTTCACAATCAGACTGTCAAAATTAATAGGCATACGTCGTCTATTAGGCGCACAATAGCGCTTCAATATACTAAATTGTTTGTATTTTTAAGCTCTACAAAATGGTTTGGAAAGAAATTGTGAAATTTTGTGTTTTTAGGGTCAAAAATGGGAAATACCTTTTTTACCCCATAAAACCCCCGTTCCCATAGTCCGATCATGCTGGTTCGCGAACTCGTTAGAATAAACGAAGGTTTACACGTTTCATTACAGGTTACCAAATTTCATCAAAATCGGATCTTGCTTTCCGTGCTAGCGGATATATATATATATATATATATATATGTATATATACATGAATTTGAACGGATGGTGTTTTTGCGTTGTTAGGCCTCTAGGGACCTCAAAACAAACAAATTAAATAGGTCCCGAGTACAGGTCTTACCATGAGTACTACGGTAATAGCTTATTCCCTATATGGGAAATTCGCTAATAAAAGGGATTTTTGTAGAATTTGACGGTTGGATGAAGGAGAGTTGGCAATTTTCTTTAGATTTTTATGGCTTGAAGGATAATTGGAGGATTTTTGCTATAGCTGTGGTCCTGGCCTGGGGTTTAAATGGGGATATTTGCTCGTCAGCACATTTAATATGGAGTGAATAAAAATAATGTATGTATGAAGTATGTCATAGTGTAATATACCTATTCACGAAGAGTGCATTTTTACCCACACACTATGGCATAGATAGGTATGAATTCGAGATATTTGGTAGTTAAATGGGATTTTTGTAGAATTTGGAGGATGGATGGAGGAAAATTAGGAACGTTCTATAGATTTTTATGACTTGGCGGATTATTGGAGGATTTTTGCTTTAGCTGGGGTCGCTGGGGATAAAATGGCGATTTTTTTCTTAGTCAGATGGGGAATTTGCACAGGTCCATGGTGGCAACTGGCAACACTGCTTGACTGGTGAGTACGCCCGCCCGCACGCCGCACGCACAGGCGCGCGTGCTGAGTTCTGAGCAGTGTTTCCATTCGCGGGATTATTATCCCGAAAACGGGATTTTTAGACCTTGAGCGGGATTAAAACGGGATGCGGGATAAAACGGGATTTTCGGCTGTGATGACTATTTTTATTTTATTCTACTCAATTTTAGAGAAAAACTAACTCAAATTGTTTAAATACTGTAGCAAAATATAATAGTGATGTTTAAACAACTTATAAAAATGATACGCAAAGTTTAATACAAGGAATTGTACCAAAAAAATCATGCGGGATAAAACGGGATTTTTCACCAATTTAAAAGCGGGATAAAACGGGATTTCTCGACCCAGTAAGCGGGATTATTTTTTTGGTCGTGTGGAAACACTGGTTCTGAGTTACTTTATTATTGTTTATTGTTGGTGAGTTTAATTAAGAGAGTTAATTGGCAGATTCACATTAATGTGTAGTGTCAGTGTCATCTGTCATGTCAGTTCAGAGTCCAAGAAGAAAGACTAGACTGCACAGATCATAATTTCGATTCCTTAGCATTTGTATTTTCGTGATCAAACTTAACTTAGTTCAATTTAATATGACATTTGGATCCAGCCTAGGGTAGACGCCAGGCGGTAGTGTTGATTGTATGTGTATGATTAATTTCGTGTAAGTAACGTCAAAACTAAAATCATATTCACTTAAATTCAGAGTTTAGGCTCGGCCTAGGCCTATAAGTTGAAAGTTATAAAACTGGTAGGCCTAACCCACTAATGTTTATAGGTTAATGTTAGTACACTAAGTTACTTGTGTTAGTTGACCCTGTGATTATGTGTTTTGAGGGTCAAAAATGAAAAACCATGTTTTATCCCATAACCCCCCCCCCCTCCGGTAAAACACTGTTCCCATGGTCCGATCATGCTGGTTCGCTAACTCATTTGAGTTTATCTCGCCTTACAACTTTAAACTAAATTCCATCAAAATCAGACACAAATTACTCAAGCTATCGCGTTCACGGACGTAAGTTATATATAGGCCTACCATATAATTTACGTTATATAAGTAAGTTAGCCTTATATATAAATCTGTATAAGTTATTAAGGCCCATACATAGGCTATACGAAAATTTGATCAAATGGTATTTTTGGCCTCTAGGGGCATCAAAATTAAAAAGTAAATTTGTCCCGGGCCTAGGTTTCACCGTGCCACCTACAATGAATAGCTAAATTTCCTATAGGGTAATTTGCTAAAACTAGGTAGCCTACAAATCATGACTTCGAAAACCACTTTATTTTTGTTCAGAAAAACTGATAGGTAGGGGCCTATGTCCAATCAAAACTTAGGCCTATACTCGAATTTTTTTTTGAAAACTATGCTTTTCCATAGGCCTATCTATAATGCTATGGTACTTAACTTAGTTATATCTTGTACTAGGGGAGAAAGTAAAAATTACTAATCTAAGTTAGGTCCATTGAACGGTACGAATGGTAGGGATGATGGTTTGGACAGGTCCGTACGATAATATGTGGACTGTGGAGAGCTGTTAAAATAACAAATAGTTGTTTGTACCTACTCGACTAATTGCACAATGAAATCAATTTGGGTACTTGAGTATTAAACGGAGGCCACCTAACCTACAGTTTCTTAACTTAGCCTAGCTATGATAATACTGATTATTAGTAAACCTTCATTCGATGTTTTCACTATCAGCAAGTTTGGTTGGTTAGGTTAGGTTATGATAGTTTAATTTTATAACTGATGATATAGCTGACCAGACACAGTGACAGGCGATGACAGGTAATGGCGCACACTCCGGTCAACGACCCTGACCTTGGCCTACTTGGAGGGGATTCTGCGAGTAGACACATGACTCATCTGAGAACGCTTGACTCACAACAATACTAGAATAGTTCTACTACAACATCTATAACAATTTAACCCTCTATAAGTGCCGCGGCGCGTTTCGTAATGGTGGCCTCCGTTTAATACTCAAGTACCTCAATTTGTTTGCAGACTGATCAGAGTTCAAAAAAGCATTTTGCATCCAAGAATTTAGGCATGTAACTTAGGGAAGGTAACTTAGATTGGTTTTTATGCAGATTTAAGTGTTTAAAAATCAGATTAGACTAGCCGACCTGTGCAAAGTATTCGCTCTGAATCTTTCTCAAATCCTACATGAAGTAGGTGTAGCCTACACAACATACAGTTAATACTAGGTGTAATAGTGTTGTTGATTTAAATTTGGGTCCTTAGTCCAGGAATGGATGTGGTTTTCCATTTTAGATAAACTTAATTAGGCCTAAGTTATCCTTTAAAAAATATATGCTAGGCAAGTTATTCACATATTTTTTACATGTTTACAGAATCTCTTTAAAGACTTTGTTTTTAATAATAATATGGCCATATACGATTTTTCTGTTCACGGCTTTGTTTTTACACAGACATACCTTTCACTGAAAAAGCGCACCCTTGACAAAGCCACAAAAAACTGAATGTGCGTAGCGTACAATTCTTCTTTCGTTTGAGTCTGTCCATGTTTCTTATTTAAAGTCATGGCAAAGGTAACTTTTACGGGAGATTCCTTCTTAGTCAGTTTGAAAGGAATACATACTATGTACCTATTGCGTAGTATGGCAGTTTGACCGGAGTCAGCCAATTTCGCTTTGATAGTGTAGGTGCCCAAGTAAGCTACAAGTAATCTTGGACCCCGCTTAGGTTTCTCATCGACATGATAATAAGTGATTAAACAAGTTGGTTCTGTTCTATGATGTTCAATAGCATTAAAGTTACAAGGATTACCAACAGGGTGCAGCACTATTATTTCTTTTACATTTATGACAACAGCTAATTTGCAACCAAAAGGTGAGTGAGCGTAGCGAACGAACTTCAACCTGGAGGCGAGTTAGCGTAGCGAACGAGCTAACCTGAAGGCAAGTGAGCGTAGCAAACGAGCTAACCTGAAGGCAAGTGAGCGCAGCGAACGAGCCCCTACCTAAAGGTGAGTGAGCGTAGCGAACGAACTTCAACCAGGACGTGATTGAGCCATGCGAACGAGATCATCTTGAAAATTAAGAAGTTAAACGGGGCAAAGCCCGCGGGTTACAGCTAGTTGTTTATGTTATGTTATGTTTATGTTATTCACATGGGAATTTTAAATAACAATTTTTTTTGAGTTTTCTCCGTTACCAATAACCGTATAAAAACACTTTGATTACTAAATCATTTGTTTTTTTAAGCTCTTTAAAAAGGTCTAAAGGGAAATTGGGAAATTTTGTGTTTTGAGGGTAAAAAATGAGAAAAACCATTTTTTACCCCATAAAACACCCCGTAAAACCCCATTCCCATGTTCCGATCATGCTAGTTCGCGAAATCATTCAAGTTTATCCCGCCTTACACCTTCCAACCAAATTTCATCAAAATCGGACAAACATTACTCAAGTTATCGTGTTCACGGACGTAAATATATATATTTATATACATATTTAAACGAATGGTGTTTTTGGCCTCTGGGGACATAAAAATGAAAAAGTAAATCGGTCCCGGGCCTAGGTCTTACCGTGCCACCTACGGTAATAGCTACTTCCCTATAGGGAAATTCGCTAAAACAAATCATTCGGATTTGAGAAGTAAATACTTATTCGTTTTGATTAATTTAATTCATAGTCCAGCTGATAAAATAACATAAACTAGGGTGGTCTGCCGTTACACTTTAGACGCATAAATGAGCGAAGCATTATTTAAAGATTGTCAATGGCTAAAGCGATATCTTTTGCGGCCGAGTGAAATCCAAAGTCTTGTTTTCCATAAGGAAACAGATGAGGAAATTTCATTGGAATATAGCCAACTCTAGTGAAATCGTTTACGGGTGCTGATGTTCCGGTCGGCCACATTAGTCTCTGAACGTGATCCCTTTGACGAGACTGCGCAATCATAGGCACCGATGTTTCTTCAACTTGGTCTTCTTCGATTTCATCAGGACTTTCTTGGTTTTCACCTACACACGGTAGGCCTACTCTCATGTGAACAAAATCATTGACTGGTAGTTGGTGTAGCGCTTCATCACTAATGGTTATGTCAAAATAGAATGGGTTATTTGCCTTCAGCCAAATAAGTGCTTGCTGTAGTTTTTCACGTCGAACTTCGAAATCGATATGGACAAATACGCCTTGACGTTGGACAATGATGACTTTTAAGTTTTCGGGCAGTGTAGGTAAGACAGATGCTATTTCATTAATATTTTGCTCAACATTAATGATGTTACCTTTGTAGTGAAACTGGCCATCCTGATCATTTGCTTGTACTTTGTAAATGCGCATAGCGGGATGTACTCGTGCAATCAACATTTGTTCTACAATCATCAGGTCAGTTAATTCGTTCGGGACACTTGACACATCCATATTATTTAACGCCGTGAATTTAGTTGCATTTGAACGACAACGCGAACAAATCGGTGATTGGTTTGAAGCTGTTAGTTGTTGGAGATGACAGTTAGTGCAAGTGTAAAATTTTAGTGTATCTAATTCATGTTGGAATTGATTAGCTAACTGCCTATCATTATCAGCTTCTTCCGCCACTGCTTCATCTGGTTCTTCTTGTTCACGACGCCACTCTCTTACAATATTTGCATTATTGGTGCGACGACTAATATTACGACGTGGCCTTTGAGGCATGCTCAAAACAAATATAGCAAAACTGTTACTTCCATTGATAAACTGTTACATTCCAACTTAAACCTAGGATGAAAGTAAACATTGAAATGTAAACAATACAGTTACAAACAATTAACATATGTTTATCTTATTTAAATGAAACGAGATAAACCCAATATAATTTTTCTTTCAACTTGCATTAAAATAACAAGCGAAATTGCGTGACCCGTAAAATTAAATTCAGAAGGAAATTTGCAAATATTTTTTACCAAAACATTGTGCTCAGTATTCTTTAGCTGTTGGCCAAATTTCATATCAATTGGTCAAGCCCTTACATTCTGATTCTCTTACAAAGAAGTTACAAAGTGAGGGAAAGTGAGCTTCGCTCAATAAACATTTCAAGTCCAAATCACACCTCATTCATGAAAATTGGTGAAGAATTAAAGAAGTTATGGCGTATAGCCTACCGGCAAAAAAGTACTTAGATATTATAATATTTATGTTATATTATTTAATTGGACTTTTCCAACGTGTCTTGTGTTTCAAACTACACAACGTTTCTGGAGGTGGAGAAACAACACGAAGAATCATATTGTTTTATGCTGTGACCTCAAACCTCAGTAGCAAGTTTCTTAATAACTTGAGACACAACCGTTTGAACTCAATTGATGATTAAATAATTTAGGGGAATGTTTAACTCACATCAGAATTCAACCATCTATGTTTTTTTCATAATTGTGTGCTTTGGCCATTATTTTAATTGGATCCAAACTAGGTTTGGTTGTGAAGGTTGGTTGAGAAAGTGTGTAGGCCTAATGAACCAAACAATTTCTATAAATCCTGTTTTTAGCGAATTTCCCTATAGGGAAGTAGTTATTACCGTAGGTGGCATGGTAAGACCTAGGCCCGGGACCGATTTACTTTTTCATTTTGATGTCCCCAGAGGCCAAAAACACCATATATATATGTGTGTCCGTGAACACGATAACTTAAGTAATTTTTATCCGATTTTGATTAAAT